TCTTTGATCCCAGCGAGAAATGAGTTTGTTTTTATTTTTTTATATTTTCTCTATGCTTTGAAGTTGCTTTGGTGGTTGGATTGGTTTTACGGGTTAGGGTTGCTAGTCGTATGCCCAACCTTCACTCTTTACCCTGGTGTAGGACCGACTATTAACTAGTGGACTAGTTAACCAAGCGAGGTGCTAATGCTACTATCATTATCAATATCATTATTATTATCATATTATTATTATTGTTATTATTATTGTCATTGTTAGTATTAGTATTACAATAGTTATCGTTATCGTTATTGTCATTATTTTTATTAGTCTTATTACCACGATTATTGTTGTAATTATGATTATCATTGCTATGATTATTGTTGTTTTTATTATTATTATTATTATTATTACTAGAATTATTGTTACTAGTAATGCTATTATCATGATTGTTACGACCGTTGTTATTACTAATATTATTATCACATTTGTCATTGCTTTTGTTATTATTGTCATTATCGATATTTATATTGATACCATTATCATTATCATTAATATTACCATCATGATGATTAGTACTATCGTAATTAATGTTATCACCATCATTGTTATTATTAATACTACTATTATTATTATTAGTACAATAATCATTGTGATTACTATTATTATTATTGTCATTATCGTCATAATTAATATTGTCATGGTTATTATTGTTGTTACTATTGTTGTTATTATTGTAATTGGTATTGTTATTATTGTTATTGTTGCTATCATTATTTCCATTATTATTATTAATACATTAGCATGATTATTGTTATTTCTGTTTTTATTATTATTATTAGTATTGCCACTATTATTGCTATTACTGTTAGTGGTATTCTTCTTGTTATCGATATTCCTGTCATCGCTATAATCACTGTTATCGTCATTAATATTATTATCATTACCCTCATTTTTATTCTTATGAATAATATTTATATTATTTTCATTATTGTTACTACTGTGAACATTTTTTATCATGGTGTTAATCATAATTGGTGCGATTACCATTGTTATTATTTTTCTGTTATTATTATTATCATCATCATCACTACTATCATTATTATTATTATCATTATCATCATTATTATTAATATTATTATCATTACTACCAACAATGTTGATATTATTATTGTCATTGTCATCGTTTTTATCATTGCCGTTGTCGTTATTGTTAATATTGTTGCCAACATTACCATTGTTATAATTAACCTTGATTTTATTATCATTATTGTAATTGTAATCATTGTTATTATTAATATTTTCATTGTCATTGTAATTATGATTGTCTTTGTCAATATTCTTATTATTATCGTTCTCATTCTTATTGTTGTCGTTAATATTATTATCATGATTATTACTATTATTGTTATTGTGGTTATGATCATTGTTATTATAACTACTTTTATTGTTATTATTATTATTATGATTGTTGTCGCCATTGTTACCAGTAATAAAATTATTGTCACCATTAATGCGTTTATCGTCATTATTATTGTTCCCACTATTATCATCACTACTACTATCATTGTTATTGTTATTATTACTATTACTAATATTATTAATATCATTATTATTCTATTTTAACTTTCATTAGTATTATTATCATCATTACTATCAGTATTGTTATCATTGTCATTGTTAATATTGTGATCATTATTATCTTCATTCTTACTGCTGTTGCTAATATTGATGATGTTAATAACACTATTGTCATTACCATTATTATTACTGCTAATATTATTACCTTCGTTATTTTTTCCATTTACATTGTTACTGTTACTACCATTATCATTGTTGTTACTATTAGTAAAATTAGTATTACTGTCACCGTTATTATCACTAATACTATTATTATTATTTCAAGTTGTTATTCATTGTAGACTGATATCAGTTGGAGGAGCAAAGGAAACCTGGGAGCACTGGACAGCTGTTTCGTCCTAGTATGGGACTCCTCAGCAGTGCGCACCCACGACCCCACCAGCAGGGATCGAACCCGTGACCTTCAGGTTCCGCGGCCAGCGCGTTACCATTGAGCTAGCCACTGGGTCAGAATCCAATGCTCCATATTTCCAACTTCTGTTAGCTCACGACCGGTGGAGTCAAAGCCTGATGGCCATGAGGACAAATACTCAGCGATGACATTGGGTGGCGGTTGCGCTATATATCGTGAGCTAACAGAAGTTGGAAATACGGAGCATTGGATTCTGACCCAGTGGCTCAATGGTAACGCGCTGGCCGCGGAACCTGAAGGTCACGGGTTCGATCCCTGCTGGTGGGGTCGTGGGTGCGCACTGCTGAGGAGTCCCATACTAGGACGAAACAGCTGTCCAGTGCTCCCAGGTTTCCTTTGTTCCTCCAACTGATGTCAGTCAGTCTACAATGAATAACAACTTGAAATAATTCCAAATCTCCACAACTCCCTCAAAATATTATTATTATTATCAGCAATGTTAACTTAATTGTCGTTACTGTTTACTATTACCAATAGTTATATTTTCACGATTATTATAATTTGTTTTGATGTTGTCATCACCATTATTAATAATATTGTTATTGCTTTTATTGATATGGTTGTCATCATTGCTATTATTATCATTATTATCATCGTTATGATCGGTGTTACCATCATCATCATCTTCATTATTACTATTGCTATTATCATTGATAGTGTTAATATTGTTGTCGTTATTACTATTGTTATCGTTAGTATCAGTATTATTATCAACACCTATTATTATTATTGTTACTATTATCAGTAATCTTAATGTTATTGCCGTTATTATTAATGTTACTATCGGCTTCGTTATTTTTGTTATCGTTAGTTTTTACTTTTATTGCTACTATTATCATTATTATTAAAACATAAGCGTGATACAGCAAGGACACTAAGAAATGCCCCACACAAAGTCGTATTGCAGCATTATGAAGATATAAACGATGGGAAGTGGATAAGTAAGAAAAAAAAACAGTAAGAGTAGCATGATAAAAGAGTAGTCCAGTAAGATACATTCAAACCAAAACACTCGTTACTTTTCAGCAGCAGAAAACGGGAGGAGGCTACAGCATGGCCACCACTGGTTTCGATTCTGAGCCATACCTGATAATGCCTCAAGCAACTGAGTTTCGTGATCTCTCAGGCTCTATCCAGGGAGTCGTGATGTACCAGTAGATGCTAACACGATACAAGTATCCTTCATCTCACGCCGCTACGTCATATACTGATCTCCCCTTGGCTTCTTCCATAAAATCCCAGGGCTAGAAAACAATGAATGGTGTGGAAGCCGTAACACATGTCCAAGCCACCGAAGTTGGTGTTCCCAGTTGACTTCACTTATTGGACAACGATCTCCATCATGCCCAAACACACGCTGTCGTACCTCAGGATTATTTACATGCTGCTGGCATAGTATACGAGCAATCCTACGAAGACAACGTTGATCGAACAAACAGATTCGTCGCATATCCTCAGCTCGGAGAGGCCAGGTTTGACAGGTGTAGAGCAGAACTGATCGTGCCAAAACCTTGTAAACCCGACCTTTCACGTTCGGACTAACTTTGCGGTGACCCAAAGGTGGTCCAGATTGACGTATGCCATTCTGGCTTTCAATAAGCGGTTGGAAATTTCATCACACACCTCTACGAGCACTCATACAATTACCCAAATACACAAACTTTTTGACGACTTCCAACGACTCACCACCGAGGGTGAGCTCAGGCACAAAGTGCTATCAATCTTGCAAAGTACTTTGCACTTCAGTAGTGCGAAGCACATACCATACTTAAGAACACTAATCGACAACTGAATAGCCTATGTGTTATCTCAGAGTAAGATGATATCATCTGGATATTCAAGGTTTTCAGGGTAGTAGATCTACACCACCATCACACACCTTCAGAGCTGTCTCGAGGATGTCATCGATGGTAAAAACAAAGAGGAATGGAGAAATCAGGCAACCCTGCCTGACTCCACTGCTTATATAAGTCCTTATTGATGTATTTTATTACATCTGATTTTATATGTTGAGCCATTTTCATTGGATATATTTCTGGTTGACTTTATATTGTATACCGTGTTCTTGAACGTGTAACGCCATACTTTTATCTTAGAGCATGGATATAACTCGTACTTTCTTGTGACTAGACTTTCGCTTATTTTCTATACATTGAGGTGAGAATTTGTCATTACTTCCCATCTTGTTTAGTTCACTGTTCTGGGTGTATGACCAGGATAAAACCAAGTTTACATTTTGTAATATGATAGCTATAAAATTTTGTGGAATCACTGTATAAGTAATATCTAGGTTAGGTAAATGGTACTAGACAAAGAAAACAAGTTGATGGATGACGTTGTAAACCTTCACTACCCGAAGTGGCTTACACATGCTGATCCACCGCAATGTTAGATGAAGTTGGAAAAGGGTTCAACGTGATCACACTAAGATGTGGCACCAGTGTATAAAGTCCTTGACTGTTGGTTTTAGTCTTGTGGGAAGGTGTAGATTACGTGGTTGTAATCCTTGAGATGATATTCCTAAAAATTGGTCACAATGACACAGATGTATTCACTCTTTGATTTCTTCTAAAGCTTGAACATATTCACTAGTTTTGATTTTCAAATTCTTTCTTCTCTCATACACCGTCTACTTTCATATTGGTTTTTCTTATTCACCTGTTCTTTACGTGGGTGCTGTAAGGTGTTGCAGGTTGAACGGATGCACTTATATGCGAGGTTCTACGTTAATTTTGCCTGTTTATCCTTTAAAGATTATAGTTTCTTTCTTACTCATGCTTTTTACACTTATCATGTAAAGCCTATTTTTATGCTCTTTAAGATGCTGTTTTTCGATAGGTTATTTGTTTTCCTCGTCCGGAAAACATCATAAATTTTATAAGACAACTATACTGTCTTCTTCTTGATATTAATTGGCCAGTGATGAGAAGAAAACTGTTATCCGTTCATTTGTACAATTAGATTTTATATGGATAACATTCATGTTATTGCAAGTTGTAAAACAGTGATCATGACAGTAGTACCTGTTTAGTTTGTAATGGTGTACATCTTTTTTGCAAGTCAACTTTTTCACTTATATTTTAAACAATTATTGAATTGTATTATTATTTTTTGTTTCATCTTTGAAGTATCGTAAAAATGATATTCGTCGTGTTGATAAATGGCTCAAAATGATTTATAAATGGGAAGAAGTTGACTCTCTATGGCATCGTATGTATAAAAATGGTCGAGCCTCTGAAAAGGTAAGTAAATATATTTCTTATTCAATAGCTCACTTGTTAACTTTTGCAAACTGACATTAAAAAAGTGATACAACTTAGCAGTCGAACACCGATTCGTACACTGGTGTGTGTGTGTGGGGGGGGGGAGAATATAAGCCGTGTTTATTGCGTGTTAGCTGATGCTACTACATGATTCGTTGAATTCCGTAGTCGGAAAAGGAGTCTAAGATCTTAACTCATTGGTTAAAAGTTAAAGGCCTAGGCTAATAGGCTGATGACTTCTAAAAATAACTAAATCATTGGTACCGTGTTATGCCAACGACCATCTACAGTAGACTCAGGTATTTCGTTCTTGGTTGTATTAGGTCTGTGCGTCGTTACTAATTATTGATTTCCCCATTTCCTGGGGTTTCACTCCTTAAGTCAATTATAGTGCAAAGGTGGATTGGTATAAGAAAGCTAAAATAACCCGATATAATTTCAGTCTGAAGGAAATTTCATAGAGTTTGGTTCATTCCCGAAAATCTTGTATGGTAGCCTAAGCACCTATGTCTTAACTTAGTTCATGGGTTTACACATGATTTAGGTATTCAGCTTCTAGCTTTTGACCTATAGACTCGAACCCTAACTTTACGTGACCAGGTATTATCATCAGCTCCCACAATAGATGTATTTCATAGCCTGTTAAGGAGTTTTCGCCCATTTTGCGTAATTTAGTTTTGGTAACACGGTGGTATCACGTTGAACTAATTATAGTTTTATGAACTCTTGACATAGTTATCGAGTTACTGAACGTAATTTATATCAGTTGGACTGCTAAAATGTAAGCGTTAACATACAATTAATTGCCTATTGTGTGATTGCTACAATATATGCTTAAGTGTTGTGATTATATTGGGGCCATTAGATGTATTTTAGTTAGCACGGTGAATGATACTACACGAATGAGGCTAGTTGGGAATGATTAGTTTGATAAAATGCCTTAACCTGGCATTCGATATAGTTTATGCAAATCATGTCTACACTTAACTCTTAGGGTAAATTATTGTTCAGTTTCTGTTGCTTCTTTGCTTGTATTATATACTTGTCATTTCTTTCCACAAGACCTATTTCGACTGAATTTGAACCCTACTATTCTCACAAGTATCGCACTACATATACTTATATAGATTCTTATCAGTAGCACACACTTCCATATCATGTAACTTCTTCATTTATCTGAGAATTCACAAGGTACAAAAGAAACTGACGAGTAGGAATTAGATTCTGTAAAAATTATCATTTTTATTATCTGAGAGGAATGACTATAGCATTTATGTGCTTAACAATCATTGGAACCTTCGAGCAAGGTATCATTCAACATGTACTTCTGTTGGAATTCTATTAGATTTCTTTAATGCACCTTCGTCTAGAGGTATACTCTTCCTTATGGTTCATCTTTCTAAATCATATTTTTCTGAGTTATACTTAACAAACTGATTAATGCCAATATGTTTTAGTTTGCTTGGTGACTAGAAGTGGAATTCAGGATATGTGTTTCATCCCATTTGAAACTCATCGGCCTGTTGTATCCGCACCCCAGCAAGTAAACACAGTCCCATCATTTCAAACGCCAAAAAGTTATCTACTAGGCAATTAAGACATGAGATTGATGGCAACTTTGACATCACTTTCCAGTCTAACTACAAGGGGGGGGGGGTAAAGCAGTTAGTTTTTTCTATGAACATTTATAAAGTTGCTGAATTGTCTGTCTTAAAGTTCAGTTATTAGGATACAAAGCCACAGTTATTATTTGACTATTCATAATAATTTCTGGTAACCTGAACCCAAGTGATAGATGAAGTTTGAACCGTTAACTCAGTAAATAAAAGCTGAGTATATAAACACCACTGAAAGCACAGCTCACTAACGCAAGATAAACATGTGGATCTTACAATTGGTGGCCGTGAAAACAAATACTCAACGATTACATTAGATGATGGTCGCCGTATGTCGTAAACTGACAGAAGTTGGGAATATAGACTATTGGATTCCGACCCAATGGCTCAATGGTAACGTGCCGGCTACGGAACCTGAAGGTCCTAGTCTCGACCCCAGCTAGAGCGGAGTCAAGAGTGCGCACTTTTGCGGACTCCTATACTAAGACAGCTGCTTAGTGCTCCTAGGTTTCCAATGTTTCCCTAACTGATGTCAGTCCCTGAGGAATACCAACTTGATGAATTTATTTTCATATGACAAAATGTGAAAGCATCAGTGTGTACGTATAACACTCCATTATTCGGATAAGAATAAAAACTGACGAACCAAGGTAAAATCGCATGATACGACCCAACGTTTTAATTGTCATTATTGATGACAACATAGAATTAGGAATGGAATAGAAGTTAAAGGATATTCAAAGAAACTAGAAGAAGAGTATATTAAAGGTGAAAACTAAAGTTAATACACTGTTTAAAATTTGAAAATAGCAAAATGCGAATACATTTACACCGTTGTATTTAACTACTCTTGAGCAGTGCTATCAAGAGTCTCCAACTATCGATTTCTAACATCATAAAGATCCCGAATAGATGACCCCACACTTTCTTACTTAAATCAAACCAACAATCTGAGATTATCGATTAGTGACATGTATTTTGGCTACTATTAGCTTTCTTTAAATCTTTCTTCATCTTATTCTAATATAGCTTGTTGTATTAGACCATGGTTACAATATGCGTTACATATTCCATCTTAGATCATACTTTTTTGCTTTTGATTGTGTTCCTTGACTCATTTTGTTGAACAAGATTATTATAACTCATATTGAGCCATAGACTGCGAACTGGCTTCATTTTTATTTCCCCGAGAGAAGATAGTATACTACAAACAGAGGGAAACTCTCTACTTCGCTTCTTAGTGAAGCCGGTATTCTTGAAGCTGCTGTTCTTTCTCCTTTCTGTGTGACCTACCCACCCAACTAAAGCTAATTTTGTTATATGCGTGGATGAACTAACATGCCGATCATCTGCTTTTTAGATTGTTCTCAGTTTAATAACTTTTAACCGAAATCGGTCACTGGTCTTCCTCAATCTTTCCAAATGTCAGGTGGTTACTTTTAGCTTAAGATGTGAACAAGACTTAAGTGAACTGCTTAAGTCCCATGAATCTCTTGGCTTATTGTGGTGGCTGTATTGTAGAGAATGTATGAACTGTAATCCATCTTGGTTTGTGCTTTTTTGAACCCTTCATATTTTACTGATTTTCAGGGAAATCCTCCGCTTAGGATTTTATTTAAGGAAACTTGGGTTACCTAGCATAACTCAGAGCCTGCTCTTACGTTTTATTAATTCCTATTTTCAGCCTATACCTACTTATTGTTACCCCTTACTCTTTCCTGGAATCTGAAATAAATATGCTCAACTGAATACAAAAATTCAGCCATACCTTATTTAGCTTTTGTATTGCGTAAAGAAAATCGTTTAAGAAATAATCATATCTACCAACTGTGTATTAGCGAACAGTTATCATGCCCTTGACATTGTTAAGCATTTCAACAATCCTGTTAATCGGAGGACTCACACCATCCAATATAGTCAGCTCCACAGGAGCATGTGAATATACAAATGCATATAAACGTGGACGTAATTGGTAGCCTATCCTTCACGCATTGTCGACTCAGATGATGGCTAGAGAAAATCAGTCTGTGCTTAGCAGCATAAAAGCTACTATTAATACACTTTGACAGACGGCTTTTCAGCACTTCAGCTGTAGTGTCCCCTTTGAATTCTAGATTCATGATTAAAATTTTCTTAGGAACTGTAATAGGTAGAGGGGTGATTCATTTATTCAGATTTTTATCAATAAATCTTTTAGGATATCCGTTATTCGATAGTGTTGTTCTACGAGTTTCAATCTCAACGTCCACCGTGTCTTCTGAATAGATTTATAAATTTTGGAACATAGAGAGTGAATGAAATTTCTTTTACAACTAAGAAGTACCTAACTATTAAGGTTAGTGAACTGACCGGTCCAAGTTGGTTTGAGATAGACTAACCTTTTAATTAAACTATCATCCCTTCTCTTTAACATTACGTCTAGAAAGTGGAACCTTGAATTTAACTTTTCCTTCTACAGTGAATTTAATGGACGGGTGACAATTATTGAAATGTCTTAGCAGCTCGTCCACTGAACATATTTCATCACAAGTAAGAAAAGTATCGTCAGTTGTACCCTTTATATAAATAAAGTTCCCAGATTAATTCTTTAAATGGCTAACTTTGAGCTTTGCCATAAAAATATCATCCTGAACGGGGCCTAGTGGAGACCCCATTGCGGCCCCATCCGTCCGATTATAAATCACATCATTAAAATCTGAACTGTACATTAAACGTACGTCTTAATATCATTTCTTTAAGGTAGCTCGTAGGGAATCCAGTGTTAATATTATTAGAATCAATGTACTAGTATAGATAACAAACTATATTGACATAGTAAACAGTTACTCCGAAAACGTATAACTGAACATTACCCGGTTTGGTTTACCAAAGGCGAGCAAAGAAAAACAATTTTAATCCATATGTGAAATCCTGTTATTCTTTATTATGTATTGTTAACCAGTACCGTTGTTAATATATATTTCAAAGATGCTGTACAACGAGTAAACAAATGCAATAATACATGCTAAGAATTCTATACTGTTGGCAAAATTATGGTTTGGAACTAAGCAATTATATTATTTTCAAGATGAATAGGGATTTTAATTAAAAGGTATTATTCATCAGAGACTGACATAAGTTGGGGAACCATTGAAAACCTGGGAGCAATGGATAGGTGTTTTGTCCTAGTATGGGACTCTTCAGCAGTACGCACCTATCACTCGTCTAGGGATCGAACTTACGACCTTCAGGTTTCATGGCGAACGTGTTAGTCATTCAGCCACTGAGTCAGAGTTCAGTAGTTCACGGCTTCCAACTTCTGTCGATTTACGATATATCGTGACTTTCACCCAAGGTCTTCAGTTGCCATCCACTTCTCTTCCAACCGGTTGACCGCACAGGTCATGGTTTCTCATTAAAACTTTGTTATATCCATCTGGAAGCATGTCACTGATGAGGTATACTGGGACGAAACAGCTGTAGAATGCTCCCAGGTTTTCAGTGGTTCCCCAACTGATGTCAGTCCGTGATGAATACTACCTCTAAATTAGAATCCCCATTCATCTCAAAAATACATTACCGTATAATGCTCATTAGTGATATGCTTCCAGGTGGATATCGCGAAGTTCTAATGGGAAGCCATGACCTGTGCGGTCAACCAGTTGAAAGGGAAGCGGATGTCAACTGAAGACCTTGGGTGAAAGTCACTATATATCGTGAGTTCACAAAAGTTGGAGCTGTGAACCACTGAACTCTAACCCAGTGGTTGAGTAGTTGACGCGTTCTCCTTGAAACCTGAAGGAAGGTTCTGAGTTTGATCTTTAACCGGATGGTCGGTGCGTACTGCTGAGGAGTCCCATGCTGGAACGAAACACCTGTCCAGTGCTCCCAGATTTTCAATGGTTCTCCAACTGATGTCAGTTCATGAAGAATGCTACCTCCAGACTATATTATTATTATTATTATTATTAACCTCAGTTAGTGTAATCTGTAGCTGGTTAGCAGGTGTGGTATCTCTTAAAGGTCATAATGATCAATTCTTTCTTCTAACCTCGGATTTTAACACTCTTTCCCAATGTCTAATGGTTAAAAGTAAAACTAGACAGAATTACATGCGATCAACTAATTTGCTTCAGCGGTCAGTTTTTTTTCTCTCCAGTGAACTGATATGAACTGAGTAAGGGAAGCGTAGACTAGTCGCATGAATCTTCAGGACAGAAGAAGTTGATAGGTTGTTTATCTGAGATGGCATCGCTGAAGGTCATTTATGTCAGTATATATCAGTAGTATAAACATATTCACTCTTCATTTTGTACTGAGAAAAAATAGTCATGTGCTTAACTTTCTCTTCTGTCCTACTAAAATACTACGCCAATTTAAAGTAATTAAACTCTTCTCCATAACCATGTTTTTATTTTATCCTGTCTGCTTTCTAATTTAAACTCTTTATCGCTTAGCAACTAAATTTATCGTTGTTAATGATAGACTCTGTAAAAATGGATTGCCTATCGTGTTCAGTAAGAGTAAATGTAAAAACTTCTGATATAATTCTGAGACTTTGTAACGACCAGCTGTTGATACGTTCTCATCTAACCTGTAGAGGTAAGTACGTTGTTACGGGGGGCGCGTAGGGCACTATGAGTTTGGTGGTGACTTTGAGAATCTAGCAGGGAAAAGAGGAAGTAAGAAAAGTGAGCCGACTATTCATCAAGTACACAGGATGTACTTACACTCAATAATAAAAGATAACTGACAAACGGTAGAGCTTGACAACGAAGACGTGGGACAGTCTAGAAATCGAAATTGGAAGATGAATGAGTAAAATTTTGAATGCGTTACACTACTCCCCCTTTCTTTGTGGCACTATCCTCAGTGCCTGGTTGTACTTCAGTGAGTTAGAGGCTCGGTATGGTGTGTGAAGCTGTCACAAGTTACATTAGAGGGATGGCTGCTGTTGAGTGCACATCGATCTGATCGTTAGCGGGCCGGATCCCACCTCTGACACCAAAATGTAACGACTAGCTGTTGATACGTTCTCGTCTAGACTGTAGATAGGTAGGTACGTTGTTGCTGTACCGGAGGGAGGCGTATATCACTGTTAGTTTGGTGGTGATCACGAGAATTTGGAAGAGAAAAAGGTAAGCCGATGACTCATCAAGTACAACTTGTTTTGTTACAAGCCTTATTTTATTCTGTTATATTCATATTTCTCAGTTAACCCGACGAATTTTCAAGGGGATTCCTGATCGATTTCGCATGACTGTTTGGCCTCTTCTTCTTTGCGTAGCAGATGCTAAAAATAGAAATAAAGATATTTATGCAGTAAGTTAGTGTTTGTTTTAATTCTGCTTTATTATTTTTTTTACTAGTGTTGTTAGTAGTCACAGTGATTGCCAATAAAATTTAAGTGGTGGGGTGGGGGTGAAGTATGCTGCCTATGTACGGATTATCAGTGTAACTTGTATTGGGATTGCGAGTTTCAATCGTATTCTATCTGGCGAGATGTGGGCAGCTATGTAAGATTAGTAGCCTTTATACAATAGATTTGTGTGTACATGAACGGGAAGGTGTTTGCTGACCTGAATTTTCTCAATTTCGAATTATTGTTTGAAATAGTTAATCCTGTTTGTAAATTTGTATAGTTTATTTGACACATGAAGTTTATCTTAAAATCTGATACCATGGATTTTGGACAGTCTGATCATATATCTGCTCACTAAGTCACTTTAAAATGGAAATATAAGCAAGTCAAATAAAACAGATTTCATGATATGGGATTTAAAAATAAGCAAGACGATAGGGGACTGGCACATAGACAAATCAACGTAGAACCTTACACAGAGGTGCGTTGATTCCAGTCACCACAGCTCATTGGAGTATGCAAGGAAGTTGATCGAAAAAGAGCGGTGTTAAGTTAGAAAGAGAATAAATGAATGAAGGTTCATAGCAATATTGAAGGCTTGGAAGATGATGATGAGTGAATATATCTGTGTCATTGTGAGTGATTGTTAGGGTTATCACCAACAGCTTCTGATCATTTATCCGTGTTCTCTTGTTCTTGGTCTCATCACCCTTGAACTTCTTTCAATACGATTCTACTTTGGTCACAGTATGTGTCGAGATAGGTGGTGGTTTGGAATGTACAACACTTGTTTTATCCACGTCAGTTGGTAAACGTTCACAACCTCATTGATCTACTTACCTTCCTTGCATAGTACCGTTCACCTAATGTCGATATTGCTCATATGATGATTGCATCGCACATGAGCACTGCTACGAAAAACATCTGTGGTCTAAAACTTTTTGTTCCTTCTGATCTTCTGTTTTCAACGGCCATATCTCACAACCGTATAATGGGACAGAGTGGACTGTTGCTCAGTATACTGATCCTTTAATAGGTAATTGGATGTCTCATTGGCCTCAGATATAACGTGAATTTGCAAATGCTGAGCAGGTCTTCTGAGTCCTTGTCGAGATTTTGTCAACAATTAGCCCTTTTGAACTGATGTAACTGCCCAAGTAAGTGAAGTGGTCAACGCATTCTTCTGTTTCACTTCATTTTTTAAATTGAGATTTAGTGGAAAATCAATTTTAAAGGATCATCCTACATTTGACACCAAACATAGCCGGATTTCTGCTCAAGGCATTCAGAAGACCACTTTACTAACGTCTTCATTTAATGGGTGGATGTTGTTTGCATACTCCAAGTCAACCACGTGCGCTCGTGAAAGCAAGTCAATTCATGAAAATTTGGGCTACCTAGGTTTATATTCTACAGGAACTTCTGTAACAAAGTTGAATAAGAATAGTGACAGTGTGCGTCCTTACTAAGCAATGGTGGTTGTCGTTACTTCAGAAGAAAGGTCTCTATAAACTCTTACCCGGCTAAGTGAACTTGGGTAGAGATTCTTCAGAGGTGAAAAAGAAGAAAAACAGTGAAAATCTTGAAACAACCTTGGTAATTGTGTAAGATGAATGTTACCGCCATGAGTTCAGTGTGGGAACAAATCGATTTTGAACATACAGAAGAGAGAAGGGCTAAATCTGCTTCCGTCTAAGTATACACTCGTGCCAAGTTTGTAGGCAAAATGGTGTTCACAAATTTGATTTTGAAAACTATTCATCTTCCTTTCCTTCAATTATATGTCTTATTCTTGAGAAGGTAGAGAATATTTGTGGTTAGGTTTGAGGATGATAATTGTATAGTGTTCTCCAAGGTTTGAGGCTAGACGACTTCATCAGTATTTATTTCATAAAGAAGTCTTTATGAATGATGTTATTAATATGACCCAGTGATCCAGAGGTTATTGGTTCGAATCCTACTGCAAATAAGGTTTTCATTGACCCTTGAGCCATCATCCCGTATCGAATAATAATTGTTTATTTTTGTAAACTTCTTTTCGCTTAATTTTATCAGTTATAGTATATAGTTTTCTTGTTAACTCAACGGTATAAGCGAATATAACCAGCATACATTGTTCACTGTAACTATAACTGATTTCTGAGAGGTAAATTGTGCAGAAAACTAATCTAACTTCCTAAGTAATAAAGAGGGTGGATGATACACTACCAAGACTTTACTTCAAAGTTACTTCTTTATGCAACCGTGGAAAGCCTATGAGATTATTGATCTTTTTGATGATAAAGAAATCGAATTGGGAAATGGTGGGGAAAACCGGTATTCTGTGGTAATTTTCAAACTTTTTCAGTAGTAATGATTTGTCGTCCATTGTTTTGACTAGTTTCCAAGGTAAATAATGGCGTACTTTAACAATTTGCTCACTTATCTCTTCTTAGCGGGTTACCCAAGTATACATTTTTTTTAAACAGGACTTACATCTATCTATAGGTCTAGGCAAAAATTTTATACTTCTGTCTATATAACTGTCAGTAGTTCAATATTGATCATCATTAGAAATTAAGTTTGGATACGGTGTAACGCTGAAGTTGTTCGTGTGAGTAGCTTCCGATATTATTAGTGTATAATTTTTCCATACCTTAAACAGTGAAGTCGATTAATTTATCAGGAAAAGACTAATTGAGCAAAGAAATATATTCCTTTTCAATTAGGTCTTCGTTTTCGGCTCTACACTAATATATAGGTTTACAATTCAATCAAAATATCAATCAAGTGGTGGGGAGTTGGTGAACAATAATCATAGATTTTAAGTAAGTCATGAAGATGATAAGTTTTAGAAATCAAGATGTAAATAGAGTAATAGAGTAATTAAAATTGGAGATATGAAGCAGGTTATTCTTAGGTAAATCGAGTGATTTTTGATGAGTGTTCAGTCATAAACAATAAGTGATTACGTAACAGTAGGATAACAAATGATTATTTATACAAGCAAGAAGGTGAAGAGGTGTACAAAGTAATACTAGAAGTTGCATCATGTTGATAGCTACGGTAATGAAAGTGGTCTTACAAACTTCGTTTTAATACAAAGGTTAGGTTTGTAAAGGTGGATTGCAATTGCCTCTGCTATATAAAGTAAGCGAGTGCATAATCCATGTGGTAAATTAATTGGAATATAGTAAGTAACTTTGAAAGCTTTTCTAGTATCTACTTGATGTGCCACGGCAACTAAGTGTGCAAGTAGGGAGCTCTATATTGTTTTAATTTGTCCCTTGCTCAACCATAATGGGTAGTGTTCAAAAATTCGACGATGGAGCTGCATTATTGTACGCTCAACGTAACTAGCTCCACAGGAGCAGTTGAATTAATAAAAGCACACAGGGTTGGCAGAATCAGGCAGTTTGTCTTTATTTCTTGCACCTAGAATCGCGCGGCTGTAGAAGATGGGACATAATTTAGCGGCTGTAAATGCTTTTTGCAGGGCTGTTGTAATGCGTTGTGTGATGAACTCAACGGCAATGTCGCTCTCAAATTTCAGCTTCAAGAACTGTTGGCGTTCATGTCTTAACCCTCCTAAGATTCATATGCTTAGTCATAAACTTGTCTGGGTAGCAATTCCTACTAAGCACATCACGGATGATGGCGAACTCTTCCTCTGTAGCATTATTTGAGCAAATAGCTGTGTCGCGGTATGCTAGACATTTCACCAAGTTCCTTTTGTACTGGAGGGGTACGGCGCTAAAGAAGTGCGCATATTGACCTGTTGATGTTGAATCTCTGTATACACTTCGTTTCAGAGTTCCGTCTAACCATCTTACCAACAGAACATCAAGAAATGGGATACTATCATTTTATCCTCTTTCATTGTAGCTCTGCAGTTCTTTCATACATCAGAGAAACGTTTATGTTATTTGTGTTTTATAGACTTCATAATGAACTGAAGTTCAAATTAAATTGGCATATTTTACCCATACGTTATACAATTCAGGCAGTTAGTCAATACCAACATAAGACCTAGCAATACTGTATAATGCTTAAAGTCACCACAGTATGTCATCACGTTGAAGAGGAAGGCAATGCGATGAAAAGTAGGGATATCAATAAGAAAGCAGTCAAAAGCAGTAGGAAGTCATATGGAGAGAAGATGGGCTAACATAATGATGAAATCTAATATGATAACAGATGAAGATGACGTGTAGATGCATCTTTGAGATCGGTTGCAAGTCATATCACCAATTGTATATCTAGTTACTGATATCGGTTGTTATGTGAACCCTAAGCTGAGTGGCTTATCTTTCTTACACGGTTTAAGTCAACAGTCAGAGACTTCATAGCCTCGTATAATTTTGAAGAATATTTGTAGCTCAGGTGGATGGTCTTGGTTGTATTGTGTTCTCTGAGCTGAGAACACAATACAAGCAAGACTTCATAGCCTGACGCCATGATTTATTTTTACCATTGTTGATATATTTCTAGTCTTAACTAATCTCCGCTAACATAGGGTAAACGGTGACTGTGCATGCATATCACATGTCCGAGTGATTTGAGTCGACGAAGGTTTTCAAACTGACTTACCTCTCTTACTTTAAACCACGTCTAACCTTTACGACGTGTTCGATGCTTTGAAGATGGCAGTGGGCGAACATCTGAAGTTTTCTCATATCCTTCACCTTTGATAGCCATGTTTCACAGCCATGAAGTATAACAGAGCGAACTGCAGCGCAATACAATAGGCGTTTAATAATGTTAAGTCCATTTGTTCTCACATGAAGTATTATAGAATGACAGCTTTCACTCAGTTCTGAATGGAACGTACGTAGATTCCGATTGATTGGAAGTAATCGTTATTAAGTCTCCAATCTAGGTTGGTGCTCATCAAAAAGGCGTTTTTAGAACTTTAAAGAAACTAATACTATGTTACATATTCAAATTCACGTCATTCATTGGTGTGACTGAAAGTGTTAAG